TTTTTTTTTTTTTTTTGTGAATTGTCTAAAGCCAATAAGTTGAATATTAATTGAAATCTTAAGTTAGGGATCGGTTCTTAAGAATGAGTGTTCAAAAAAAGGCATTGTACTAATCATTGCATAAAAAGGAAAAAAGTTGTCATGTTACGAAACTACCCTAAAAGATCCTAATGAGAACACTTATTGAAAATTTTAGAAAGAAAACTCAAAAAAAAATCGAACTAGTGCAAGAAACAAAATATGCACGACAAACTTGAAATGATAAATTTGACCATTGAGGGTTGGGACTTGAATCACTTTATGACTTTATGATGCTTTACATGAATCTTTACACATACACGTCGATTTGTATTGGATAAGTAGAAATTAAATTTAACAAGTAATTCATAATTTTAACTCAGAAATTCCAATCTTGAGACTAATGGTAGATTTCCTAACCATATTTGTTTAAAAATATTGGTAAAGTCAAGTTCTACAATTATTCAAGTTTGAGGGTGTACGATAGTTTATTTTATACACTTACATGAGCCATTAAATGGGGCTGATTATTATTAATTTTGATGATTTATGACTTAATTATGTATATGATTTATTTTTTAGGTAAAAGTAAATGCAAATTAAAGGTATTAGATAAAATGAGCGAAAAATAGGCAAAAATGGAGAAAATCCAAAGTTCGAGGATAAATGCGTAAATTTTCAATGGTTCATTCCGACCATAAAATGATTATTGAAGATTACATAGGATTAATTGGATGCAATTAGAAGTCAAATGATTGAAATATAGTCAAAATATTTTCATAAATCAATTTCTAGCCGAAAAAGTTATACTTTAGATTTTCAATCTCAGATTGAAACTCATTTTTCGAATAGTTAACGTTCGAATTGAAAAATTGATAAATTTGGAAGAATTGTATCCATTTGAGTTATCTTTCCAATGCACTCTGAATCACGTTTATCAAATATCATGAGAGAAAGTTATGATAGAAATACTAAAAATCGTACATTTCTCGTAAACTTCGGGTAGCGCACATGCTGACTCGCAGGCACCAACCACTTTTTGTTTTGTCGAGGGCATTTTGGCAAGATTGCTTGCATGCGAGATGCATCGGGGCGCATGGGCCTTGGGTAATTTTCATAAGACGAGCCAAATTTTCCTTTTTCAATCAAAACGTTTCGGAACTCAAATTGGATGCGATTTTGACCTAATTTTTTACTCTTATAAATACTAGAACTATCATTGAGAGGAACTCTCTCTAACCTCTAATTACACATTCAAATCATAAAATTCATTAAGAACAAGAGGCCAATTGATAAATTGAAGAATTCAACCTTGGAATCGAAGATCAAGATTTCTTACATTCATTCATGATCAGGAAGATATTTATTCATAATTCTTTTTGTAATTTATACGAAATAATGCTAGGCTAGATCCGTAATTATATTGGATGAAGATGAATCATATTGTTTATTTATCCACGTGCAATCATATAGATAATTTAATATTTAATATGTTCTAATAATTTGAATTTGGACTAAAAATAAGATCGGATCGGGTCGAGATTAGAATATAATTAATTTACTTTGAAAAAGAAAGTTAAATACCTTACCTTTTATCGATTGTTAAGAATACATGAACGGAACTAAATTACATAATTGAGAATTGAAATAGATAGCAGTAGATGGACTCTAAATCCAATACAATCATCCATAATTTAATACAAACAACACTTTTCATATTTTTTAGATTAAATTAGAATAAATCACAAAATCAAAATCTTTTTTGTTTACATAATTCTAATTCAATATAAAGCTAGTAAACTTGAATTGAAATTTATTCTGAGGGACGATACTCTTCTTATCACATTCTTTAATTGTCAACGATCACGTACGCGCTTTCGTTGGGAATCAGAAATTGACGTAGATGATAGAGACAAAGTAGAAGCAATGAATAGGTTTTACTCCTTTTCCTTGGCTGTACTTTCAGAGCACTTGTCCTACCAAGTTGTGTGGACAATTTGCACAGATATGCAAGAGATGCTCACTTTTGACAAGGATGGAAGCCATGCAGTATGGAATTTCCTTGGTGGCGTTGCAAGGGCGAGATTTCTCGACAATGTGCGTGGGATTACTGAGAGGTGTGTAGGAATTCTCGATAGCCTCTGTAGAAATTGGCCTAATGGGAGGAAGGTGGTAAACATTGATTGTGGGCAGAACGATGGGCAACAATGCACAATTGTTGCATGGTGGATGGATTCACGCAACAAGACATGAATGAGGCTGATAGGTCATTCTCACCCTGTTCCATAAGGTATTTTATCATCTTACTCCATTCTCATACACAATTAAAACGGGACAGGTTGGAACAGGTTTCGGGTGGGATTCCCAGCCCCATTTATTTATTTTATTTTCTGCTTCGGTTTTTTTTGTCGACTAATACAATTTTCGTTATATTCGACCAAGGGTTGAGGCAACAATTATAATCTCATGCGTTGGCATATCAAATATTTAAGCCTATCAAAATATGTCGGCTAAAATTTAATCCCATTGCAGAAAATGTTTCCTCGAAATATGAAATTCTCATAGAACTTTTTGGCGTTATCAAGACATTCACACATTTTGACATCCAAACAGCACAACAAATAGACCAAAAATAAGTGTTACATATGCAAAATCCAACCTCAGATAAGTACATTTAGAGAGAACGAACCACGAAGTTTATATGATCATCAAGCCTAGAAATGAATACCGAAGCACGTGTTTTTAATGTATAGAAGAGAAGATTTACACGCTACTAGTACAGACGAACAACACGAGCTCAAGACAACAATAAATGAATATGATTGAGGATACAACTATAAGTCAGAGCATATCTTTTGCTAGCCTGACTGGTTTTTCTTTCAAAAAGGCGACGTCGCTATTTGGTGTGGTCAGCAGATGATGATCTATATCCTCCTCATCTTCACTTTCTGCCGATAAAGATGATGAGCCAGAATCTGTTCCATCTTCTGTATTCATAAACATTATGACAAGTTATTAGAAATGAGTGAGAAATATATAATCACAGCTTTCATACCACAGACTTAGAAGAGTAGGATTTCAATTTAAACAAATTATTTATGGAGTTATCAGAAACTATGAAATTACAGATGGAATATCTAGATGTAGCTGTCTGTGGTCAACTTTTGAGCTAGAAATTGGAGGGTGTTTGGGGGTTAGAAACCAAGATCTTAAGAACAAATTATTGTGGGAAATGCAAACCACAAAAAGACTCATTTTGTTGGTATTATCAATAGCCAACTAAAATTTTAACAAGATGCACAGATAAAAAGTTAAATAAATGAGTAGATAACTTGTGCAACTTATACACTTCAAATAGAATGGTTGAACAATTTAATGGTTTTTTGGTAAATTTGATACTCATAATAGGCAATCTTACTAGAAGTGTAAAGCAGTAAATTATGTATTTCACCATTACATTGTCTTCCAATTCACAAGTGAAATAGACATTTGATAGATTTTTAAATCCTTATATTAATAGCAACTGATAATTTGGATAATTCAAAAAAATAAATAATAAATAATCTAAGAAGATGAAACTTGCCTGAATATGTATGATGATCAGGTACATGTCTGACTGTCGTTGCATGAATGTTCTCGGGCAGCAAACAGTTGCAGAAAGAGCCTGAAATTTCAATTTTGAATCATGTAAGACAGAAAATATCGCTGGTAATATTATAGGTTACGAGTTATTCCACCCATGTAGATAATAATGATTTCATTTGTTGGTCTCCTTTTTCTTCATGGCGTGCATGCATGTCTATAGGTACCTATAAACATACTTCTACATGTCTAGAATAAGAATTCATACTTCAAGTTCTACTGATTTGCACCAAATGAGGCTTATGAGGACCTCTAATGTCTTTACTCTCAGAAGATTGGCAAATACTGCAATTTCATGCCCGATAAAGTCCAAATATTACTTTTCCCATGGATACACTTTTCGTATGAGAATTTTACGACTTCAAACCATTGCTCCAACTATTTATGTAAGAAGTGCAAAATGAATCTTCATCCTCACCTAATCGGGCAAGGCGATTCACCCACCCAGGGGTAGGCTTTCCAGTCAGGCGTAAACATACTTCTTCAGTAAAATGATTGCAATTCTTAGCAATCAAATGGTATGTGTCGCCGTGATATTTGCTGGAAATCTGCTCCATAAACAACCGCAACTCTGAACGAGACATGTTAGTTCTGCCCAAAAGGACTGAGCGCCTAAAAGTAAAACCAGGGCAACTTCTTGGTTCAACCTCAAACACTCCACTGGTTGCGTACTCATGAGCTCCGAAGCCATACTCCAAACCATGTACTTAACAATAACAGTTTGTGAATAGGTATATCAAAGAATATCATCTAATCAAAACACAATCACGTAACAATAACAATTCAATGATAATAACAATTAGTTAAGGAAGTCAAATAAAGAAAGGTTTAACCACCATTCTCAGTGAAAAGGATAACACAAGCTCTAGTACTATGTCGTGGTTTGATTATTAAAGGGGAAAAATGAGATAAGCGGGAAGCCCTATTACTATGTAGTAAACGCTTTGGAAAGAGGGAAAAAAATGAGATAAGTGGCAAACTATCTTTAAAGACTTCACACTAACTGCAAGTCTGCAATAGGAAACCAATGAAAACTTCACCATTAATTGAAGGGAAGGAAACTGATGCCTTTGAGTCGAATTCACTTGGAGAAAAACTGAGAGTAGAAGATGCTGACTAAGAAGAAAAACATTTGACAGTACAAGTCAAATACCCAGAAAACATGCAAGGCCATCTTGCTTCCTCTGAAATAATGAGGATCTTTAGAATATAAAAACTAAGAATGTACTCCTTCAGAAAAATGCAATCAAAATGTATTAAGCGGCTTTTGTTGTCTGTTTATAAACAGTGAAAAAGGATTCATGTTGAAAAAGGATTCATGTTGGGAACTCTAAATTTTATTGAGAATAAGACTTAGTTTGTTGTTCAAAAATCCCTACTAAAATATATTAAGCGGCTTTTGTTGTCTGTTGATAAACAGTGATCTTTCTTTTTCATTTCTTCTTCAATTTTCAGGTCCTCATCCAATTAGAGAGCCAACCTTTGATAAAGCTGCCAACTAGTGAGCTGCTAGTTACAACTCTAGATGCATTTCCATCAGTTAACATATCAGTATAATCTTACAAATCTAAACTAACTCCATCTACTCCAAAAGTTCGGTAGTCTGAACTCATGTCATACTATTCTCTTGGCTATCCACCTCTTTGGTATGGTGTACTTAGGTTATCGCATGGGTAGTGCTACACAAACTGAGCTATAGGTAATGACTTCAGGCACTGCCATTTTGCAAATTAAGTGGTAACTAATTTTAGTCATAATAATAATTAAAGAAGAAAGGTAAAATTTAACTGACATTGATCAGTGTCTAAATTAAAATTCCACGGAAATTGTTTAACTAAAATGTCAACTTTATCCATCAGAATAAACCTTTTGCAAAAAGAATTAACACCGTAGCATGTTACTAAAATTTATAACATATGATGCCAAACATGCTACAGCCATTAATCATATGGGAAGAACATACAAAAAAAGAAAATGGGATATATAATAATAGAATTTCCAGCAGCAACAAATAGCACAAGAGAACATGTCTAATTCAGATTTCGGTGACACGTAAAATAACATCTATAAAAGAAAATATAATACAAGCAAAAGGAACTCAATCATTGAAGTGAAGACAAAATCTTTTTATACCTTCAATACCCGAATGAAAGATTCCGATGCCGAACCAATAAAGATAGTTGTTTACAGGTGTGAGATCATATATATTTAGGTATAACAACGCGGAGTTTTTCTCCACGTTGCTCTGCTCCCCCGACCTCGGTGAACCACCAGAGCTCGATGGAATTGGAAACAATCGCATTGTATTTATCACCAACCTCACAGCAAAAACTCCGAACTACACCTATCTCTGTTTATGTACACACACGTGCTTTGTACGTAATTTCTATAAGCTCCAGCCTAGCATCCAGTACAGAAATAACAAAAACCCCAATTAGAAAAAGGAAAAACAATTCAACTGGAAATTGGGCTTAATTACTAAATTGAGAAAGAAACACAGCAAATCCCAGATCTCTACTGAACATTAAGGGAAAAAGAAGGGTAATTAAGAAGGAACTAGAGTGGATGCATCATATAGATGCCCCAGTAACCCTAAATTGGTGAGGTGGTGCCAGCTGCAGATCAGAGTGGAATCTGGAGAGGAGAGTTAAGAGTAAGAAATATTTTTTTGGTAAATAGCATGAAATTCCGGGAAAATTTCCAAAATGGCATAGTCAAATGGCTTGGGTTTTTTTTGTGTAAAAGTCAATTTTGCCCTTGATAAAATGGTTTTTTATTATAAATTATGTCCTCAAACTTTANTGTCATTTTCGCCTTTTTTCGCGCATATTTCATTATTTCCATCAAAGTAAACCTACAAACACAATTCATATTGAATTTAGTCTTATTCAAGCATTTATATCAACAATTAATCATGTTTTGTCGCATAATTAAGTGCACAAAACGCACTTATCACTATTCAACACAGTATACAACAAGTTAGGAGATTTTATCAAGAGAACTATAAAATATTATTATTTAAGGCTCCGAATAAGTGTATAAATCATAGTCAATACCCGTGCCATCAAAAATACGTAATAAACATGCCAAAAGCGTACTTTGTACTCTAATTTTTTATTTGAAACAAAATCAATTATTATGCCATTTCTTTTCCAGATTCCACTCATAATTTTTTTGAAAATAATTTAGATTGAATTGAATAATTGAATTCTCATTCTGGTATTCAGGGAATTGCAGTTATTGTTGTCGTAAGATTTCAATAATTGGAGACGTGGAGCTTTGATTACAATAACATATTTAGAGAATTTAAAAACTATTCATACGATTTATCTGGATTATAAGAATAAATCAATTGAATCATATTTGGAGTTGGAAAATCCTTCAAATTTTAAAGCATCCACCTTTTCAAAAAATCTATAGAGTATTACTGTAATAAAATAGGATTACTGTAATTAGTTTCTAGCTATTGAACAAAAAAAACTTTATAAAATGGTGCAAATAGGCACTAACCATAAAAACACAGTAAAAATTCATTTTGAAGTATAAAAAAATGTCTCTTTATCCAAATTTGGAGAGTGGACACTGCACTGAACCTAAGTGCTGTTCTAGAGGTGAGTTATGATGCTTAAACTTCCATATAATTCAAATTTTAACGCAAGGATTATGCTTCTTTCGAGTACTAAGCATATTTTTTTTCTTTATAAATTTAATTTAGTTC